AAAGTATGGCCTCGATCGGATTTGAAAAAAGAAATACTATCTAGTAAACTAATGCATGCAGTTGACTCACCTCACAATGACTTTTTTGATTTAATGCGTGACTCTTTATTCTTCCACACAAGATTGGCTACATGGTCATCGAGAAATGTAAATATTAATGAATCGCTTGTTTACGAGGAATGACTAGTAGCATGTTTAAATGGATGATAAGTAGAATCACTTATCCTTGGTCTGTACGCCAAGATGAAATATGACTATAAAAAATAGATTAGATGGAGAGAGAGTATAATATAAGATATGGTAAAAGTTACACGGTCTCCAAAACTAATCTTTAACTTATAATTTTTCATATGCTATAAGGTTTGTAGCAACAAAATTATAATCATATAAAAGTAAATTTAAATGTCAATCTAATGATATAATTTTTAACAAATAAAATTCATTTCATATTACATTAAATGTTGGTCAAATGTTTTAAAAGTTGAATCTTGAATACGTGCACGCCTTGTATTATGAGATGGAGGGAGTACTATGGACCTGTTTAGTTGATGAAATGAAAATTTTTGGGTGTCACATTGGACGTTTGACCGGATGTCGAAAATAGTTTTCAGACACGAATGAAAAAACTAATTTCATAACTTGTCTGGAAACCACGAGACGAATCTTTTGAGCCTAATTAATCCGTCATTAGCACATGTGGGTTACTCTAGCACTTATGGCTAATTATTGACTAATTAGGCTCAAAAGATTTGTCTCGCGATTTACATGTAAACTGTGCAATTAGTTTTTCGTTTTATCTATATTTAATGCTCCATACATATGTCTAAAGATTCGATGTGATGTTTTTGGAAAAGTTTTTGGAACTAAACAGGCCCTATCTCTATCTCAATGTAACAACAGGTATAATAATAGACTAACCAACTATAAATATATTTCGATAAGATAAAAGAGTATAGAGAAGAGCAGTGGGCTACAGATTTGTAGCTAGATGTAGCACAGACTACAAGATCCAATGTGTGTATGATAGGTAGGACCAGGTATTAACAGTGTAGTATATGTTTATAGGTAACTATTGTATGAATTAACTAATTTTTAAATTGATTAGAGATGATTTGGAGTTAGTAGTTGGCTATATTATTAAACTTGTTCTAAGTGCAGTTGTATGTTTCGGTGTCCAACGTTTGACCGTCTGTCCTATTTAAAAAAATTTACTCCCACCATTTCATTACAAGACTTACGCGATATTTTTCTAACTTAAAGTTTAAAGTTTAGTTAAATTTATAGAAACATAGCAATAACATCAAACATGCATAATATCAAAATATATTAAACGTTAAATTTAGTGGAACTAATTTGGTTCCATAGGAGTTGCTATATTTTCTTTAAATTTAGTTAAATTTATAAAAGTTTGACTTAAAATAAAGTCAAAACGTCATACAATATAAAACGGAAACGAAAGGAGTAGCTCTTTCTAGCTTGGGGACTTGTCCAGATTATTAGTCACCTGACTAAAGTTATAGCCAAAAACAAATCAAAAAGTTTCAGTGAAGGCGGAACTTCGATTGATTCGAAAATGCACCCGATAATAATTGGATTTTTCATGTAATCTATATAGTAGAAATAAAAACTTGTCCACATCATTTAGAAAACAATAGCCTTTGGACCCGATACTTGATCTCACCATTACATTCAGGTTATAACAACCATGCAAGCATCAAGCATATATACTTGTACATACCTACATGGTTTCATGCTAGAACAACCGATGTAGAAGTAAAACGAAAACCACAAATTTGCTGGTCGCTAAAATATATGTCACACTTTAGTAGAAATGTAGAAACTTTTCTCTGAATCCTTCAGTACCCTCCAATCCAACTTACTCCATTTTTCAGTAGCTGATCAAAATACCCATTTTTTTAAGTTACTTGAGTCTTTAGATCGCGCTAAGATTCGTGAAAGTAGAGCAACCCCCTACCCCACCCGTAGCGCCTTCCCCGGTACACCACATGTGTGAGGCGAGGTGCTAGTTCACCTCCTCCAGTGCCACTCTCCTCTCACTGCTCGGCCTCGCTAGTGCCAGAAGGAACCAACAGCTTTGGTGAGGACCCCCGGTTGTCCCTCCTCTCCTACATTCCTTCCTAAGTCATACACACAGTGGCGAGTACCCTTACCATGTTGTTCTCTCCATACGTTTCCCTCAGGGTAGATCCCACCGTCATCTATGCCTCCTAACCACTCCAGATCTAACGCCCCACTGTCAATTTCGCCTAACGCCTAACCCTCCCTTTCAACCCCACAACTCCATTAGTGGCTCCACCATCTTGTCGCATGCCTATGTCCTCTGCCCATTGCTAGTTCGACCACCGTCTGCCGGCCATCCCTCTAAGTCTTGGGAAACCCCTCTTCACCCAACTTAAATCCTCTCCAAATTGACTCCCATCCAAGTTTCTCTGTCGGAGTTTTAACATCGTCACCACCAGCAGGATGTCACTGCTGCCACCACCAATAGGAAGTCACTACTGCTCTCGCTATCGTGGCTGGTGAGTCTTCTACCTCTCCTTTGGTCAGAGATTAAAGACGATTCCCTAGCCGTTGGATTCTAGGGAGCAATGTGATATGACTAAGAATTTGGTCACCTGAGAACTATTAATTCTCTCTCTCCAATATGAAGATGGTTAGAAAACAATAGAGGGATTGCTTTTTTTATTTAAAGTACTACTAGGCCTTGCCGGCTTGCCCAATAGTAATATATTAATATAAAAGAGTATTATTTCCAACACAAAACAGGAATTATAAAAGTTGTAACCAGCTATGCACAGAAGAGCTGAGGGCCTAATTCATCCTACAAACATAAAGAAAAATCTCATTCCTAAAGGCAGCGAACCAATGATCTTCATCACACAATAAACTATCAAAAACTTTCTCATTTCGTTGTTTTCAAATTTGCCAACATGCAAAAAGACATGATCTCAAGAAAACCTTTTCTAAACTGAAGTCTTATCAACACCAACATATGGCGCATTTCCAAATTAGTATTCCACCTAATTCCAAGACGATCCCAACAACTCTTGCTAAAGGGACACATGAAGAACAAATGTATCAAAGTTTATTCTTGGACCTTTACACCAAGCACAATGTAGATACGCATCGTCAGGGGCACAATGCCTTTTGTCTAACAAATCTCTAATATTCAATCTGTCCTATAGAAGTAGCCACATAAACACTTTGATTTTTTTTACATATTTAGTTTTCTTCATTCAAATGAAAGGCCTTGGGACCGAAATACCCATAAAGTTAGACATGTAAGGGTTACGTATTACTTGTAAGGGTTAGTTCTTCTCAGCTTATACACTCGGCCACTTGCTCGTTTATCGTGAGCACACTTACTGAACTGCTAAATGATGTGTTTCGTAAAAAAATAATATGAAAGTTTCATTCAAAAATCAAATAAATATATTTTACATATTTGACAGAAAAGCCCACAAAAGATCTTGAAATTTTTCTACTGTCAGATTGCTTTAGTGCACACCCACTTAAACCTAACCCACCCTTCCTCTTCCTCTCAGCACAGCCATGATGAAGGCTCGAGCACTCGATGCCAAAATTGCCACCACGCCACCGCTCAGCCTCGCCGGTTGGCTGGAAGACATCAATGGCACCGGCGAGCCCCCTCTCCCCTGGTTTGGCTTCTCCACCCTTCACTCCCTCCTCCTCCTCAAGCTGGCGCCACGGGAGGTGCCCTCGGTCTGCCATCGGATACGCCACCAACAGCCGCGGCCTCCTAACCACAAACTCGTTTTGCCCCCATCACCAACGCCGGTCCACCACCCTTCTCGACCCCATGGCTCCGGTGTCTCACCGTCTCTGATGGCCATCCCTCTAAGTCCGGTATTCTTACCCAAACCCTCACCCCTTGCCCCACACCCATCCCAACCCGAGACCCTAAATCCTAACTGCATTGTCTTCGTCGAGGTCACGATGATGTTGAAGTGGTCGTTGGAGCTGGTGGGAGAAGGATAGTGGGTTACCGGAACACAAATTGCGAAACAAATCCTAAGATAATATATTTGCAAGACTCTAACCCTAAATTTCCGTCGAATGACATTTAGCAATTTCAATATATTTTTAAGTCTATAATAATTAATACTTAATTAATCGTGTGTTAACCCAACTTCATTTAACGTGCCACAAAAATTTCACATCATTCGCTGATTCGAACGCAGCCATAGTCACTCTTTCACTCTCACTCTTTCACTTAACGACTTAGGGTGTGTTTAGATCCCAAAAAATTTTAGTAAAAAATATCACATCAAATATTTGGACGCATACATAGAGCAATAAATGTGAAAAAAAAACAATTACACAGTTTGTATGTAAATTGCAAAACGAATCTTTTAAGCCTAATTGCGCTATGATTTGACAATGTGATGGTACAGTAAACATTTGCTAATAACGAATTAAGTAGGTTTAATAAATTTGTCTCGCAATTTATAGGCGGAATCTGTAATTTATTTTATTATTAGTCTATGTTTAACACTTTAAATGTGTATCCTTATACTTTAAAAAGTCCATATACTAACAAATTTTTGGCCGAACTAAACACAGCCTTAACGTACAAAAACCTAGTTCGTCTATGGCCATCGGTCGCTCATCAGGCCATGGTGACAAACGCACTACGCTTACGCTCCACAGTAGCAGTAGATGGCAGTAGTAATGGCAGCTCCAGCTACTTGGAGTTAGAGCAGTGATGGCGCCAGCTCGGGCTCAAATTGACCCGATTTTAATGAGCACGCCACCATTCGCTGTCGATCTCTGCGTGCGTCTTTGAGAAATGAAAACGAGCCTAGACGTACTACTCGATCCGTACCATAATAATTTTTAGTTTTTTTTACAATGTATTCAATTTTTTTTAAAATATAAAAAACGAAAAGTTATACTTAAAGTATTATAAATAATAAAGTAAGTCACAAATAAAATAAATAATAATTTTAAAAAAATTTAAATAAGACGAGTGGTCAAATGTTATAAGTAAAAACTCAAAATATGGAACTAAGGAGTATATTCCAGGCAGGCAGCCAGCAGCAGTTGACCCTAGCGATTTATTGGCATCCATGTTCCGATCCCTCCACCTCACGCAGCTCATGCATTCTCGCTGACCATCCTTCCCGCCGGTGCGCGCCACTGCACTCTCGCCGTCGAGCGATAATGGGGAGCTGCGTGAGCAAGAAGGCCGCCTCCGCACGCGCCGGCGCCGTGGCCGATAAGGAGGCGGCGGCGCCGCTCCCGCCTGAGAAGGAGGTCGTCGCTCTGCCGCCGCCCGTGGTGGTGGAGGAGGAGGAGGTGAAAGAGGTGCTGTCCGAGACGGCCGTGCCCGTGTCGCGGCCCAGGCCGCCGCCGGAGCCGGAGAAGGAGGTGGTGAAGCGGAAGGAGGAGGAGGAGGAGGAAGTTTCGGAGAGCGCGTCGGTGGCGTCGGCCACGGCGGAGAAGGCCAAGGCGAAGGGAGGGGGTGAGGGTGAGCAGGAGGTGGAGAAGAAGGCGATTGGCGGGATGGAGAAGGGGAGGGCGAGGAGGAGGACGCCGGAGCAGAGGAGGCCCAAGGAGGCTGCAGGCAACGGGAGGGCGAGGTCGCCGTCGCCCGCGTCGGCGCAGAGGAGGTATGGCGGCGGCGAACACCTGGCGCCGCCGACGCGGCCACGGCGGGAGCAGCCCGCGGTGGTGTCCGGCATCGGGTGCCGAAGCGGCAGGTTCTCTCCGTCCGCGGCGAGGAGGGCCGCCGAGAGCGCCGTCAGGCGAACCAACTCCGCCAGGGAGGCCGACATGATGCTGCCGCATTCTTCCCGGACGCCGGCAGCCGCCAAGCGGTCCCTCAACGGCAATGGCGGCGCCTACGGAGGAGGCGCAGCCAAACGGGACCCCGGCGAGCGATCCGGGCGGCGGCCGGACTCCCCAACATCCAAGCACATCCCGCCCGCCTCGCCGGCAGCGAACGGCGCCATCTCCCGGCAGCAGAGCCTCAACGGCGGCGCCACGCGCAAGACCGCGAAGGACGACACCACCCTCGAGCAAACCAAGCCGCAATGCCACGGCGGCGGCGGCGGTGGCCGGTCACCGGAAGAGGGAAGAGACGGCTCCGACGAGTCGGCATTGGAGGAGGAAGGGCACGAGCAAGAGAAGCAGACGGCGGAGGGCGGCGCGCTGGGACCGATCAACCCCTCGGTGGCCATGGAGTGCTTCATCTTCCTGTAGCCGCCCACCATTTCCGATGTCCAATGTTCTCTTGCTCTCTCAGTTAGCGTCTCGCTAACCTTGCTCTGTAATTCGTGGCAATTATTGCCGTACCATAGATTGGATGATTGGAATGGAAGGTAGCCATTGTGTGTCACTTTGTTTAACATTCATCCCCCTCTGAATCACGTGTGTTCTGTTCTTGTTTTACCTGCGACCTGTGATATGGAGATGCGCGGCGGTTGGCCGGTCGGGCGGCCGGCAGGCGTCGAGCCAGGATCGGTGGAGCCCGATGTTACAGTTTTCACGGTGGTCGGTCGGCATCCCATTGCGGTGCCATACTGCCATACTATACGTTGATATATAATTTTTGAGGGAACAGGGAGTTTCTCTTGCAATTCATTATCATTATAGAAGAAGAGAATTGATCCAATTTATAAAGGAAATCGGACCTAAAAACCTTAAACGGCACGGTTAATTTGTGAAAAACTGGCGAAAACCCTGGTATCGACAGATTGAACCTAATAACTAAGTACAGCCGTCCATCAAGGGAAAACTTATAAAACGATGCCTTCAAGAAGGACACGTCGACTGAACAGCGACATCGCCCGATCCTACAAATCTAGGTTTTCACCCGGAGAACCTCTTGATATGGAGTTGAATGAAAGCTCCAATAGCAACTCCTTTAAGAAGGTGAACGGCGCCTGAGAGCGTCGCCGTTGCGCATCGGTAAAGCCGAGCAAAGGTTTTCACCTCGAAGTCCCATCCAAACAAAGCAACCGCAAACGGAAGCTACCAAATGCCACCTGCACACTGAATGTACATGTTCTATGCACACAACCACCTGCACACCGTTGATGACCTGCATAGCCACCACGACGGACCAGCTGAGCTCGCTGGCGCCACCTGGACTCCAACGTCGTTGGTCCGCACTGGCGTCACGCCAGGACGCGGGGAGCCGCCGGATCTAGGCCTACGTGACCAGATCCAGCCATCCCCGTAAAAACTTCGCCGCTGGGCTGGGATGAGGCTGCTGGCGCCGGTCCGAGGACGGAGTCCGCCGGCGCCGGGACGCCCCAGATCTGGAGATAAGAAGGGAAGGAGAGAAGAGAGGAGGAAGAAAGGGAGAAAAGAGAGGAGGAAGAAGGGGAGGGAGGGAGACACTGCCATAGCTGGCACCACCGTCGCCGGCGGCCTCGTCGGCGGCTGCGACGCAAGTGGAACGCGGCCGAGGCCCCGCGCGCTCAGGCTATCGCCTCCCGTGTCACCTAGAGCGAGCGGCACGGGAGTCAATCACCCGGTCCCTCCCAAAAATGAAGAGGTCACCATCATCCATGATCCATTGTCGTCTCGTCGATGTAGGTTGCTGACAAATTAAGGAACATTGACAGATATGTCATTGCTCGACCCATTGGTTCAGGGAACCGGAGGATGTATTCCCTGTTCAAAGTTCAAACAATAAAATCCAAACATTCTTCTCTTTTAAGTTACTTGTTAATTTTATTTAAAGTCAAATATTTCTAACTTTATAACCATTAGTTTCTAAAATAATTACTACATAGTTTAACATCCTAAGATTTTTGGTTTCCGATTCACCATAAGAAATGTTTTCATAATATATAATTTACATGTTGTTGCACTACATAATTTATAGAAAATGATAGTAAAAGTTAGGAATGTTTGATTTAGAAAAAAAAATAAATGATAAGCAATTTGAAATGAAGGGAGTAGTTAGAAAAAAATTAACAACATCCATACAGCATAAATGTATCACTCTACAAAATATTAGAAAACGATTTACCTCGCACATCCAGTGCACGACAAAATATCAGACGCTCCATTTAGTAGATCCCACCTAACCCTTCTCCCCCACTTTTTTCTCCCCAATGATCAATACTACCCACTCATTTTTCCCTCTTCTTCCCATAGCCACCAGAGCGGCTAAGAGACGAATTGTTGAGACCATACCTGATGACCAGCAGGACGCAACGCATCACATCATGAAACTCGAAGTGGTTGAGGGTGTCACTATAAGGCCTTGTCCTTCCAATCATACTACTTTTGTGTCAACCCTTTTACACGAAGTGAGGATAAATGTGTAAATGGGGTGCTTTGTGTAAGTAGGTCCGCTTGTCTTGAATGGCAGGGTTGCATGGTTCTGGAGGGCGGGCTGTTATATTCTTCACACCTTGCATGTAAGCGGAATTGTAGACTACTACCAGAGAGCATGAAGAAATAAAGAAATAGATCTATTCCGCCTTTTTTTTTAATTTAGATGTTTCAGCTCAGCAAATTAGGATGTTTCATTAGTTAGAACAAAATGATGTAGTGGGCTTTTTAATGGTGTTTTTTTGCCTATTCAAAGCATTATGTGATGTTTCAATACGTCATAATGTTTCATATTAATCTATGTTGTCAAGTTTTTTTTAATTTTTTATAACTATTTAAATGACATATAACCAATGAGAAAACATCCCCTCGAGGGATAAAAATACATATCCCGCTCACATGTGACATGTCACAGCCTTATCTCTTTCTCCTGTCTCTTATCTCTTTCTTCTCTTTCCCACGACCACACATAAGCTTCTCCCTCGATCTCTCCTACAAGCCACACATGAGCAACGCAGCGGCCTCGGCCCCTACGAGCAACCACAAGCCGACAACGATGGTGGCGGCAACCCCGTCCGACGAGCAACGACCTCAGGCTCATCGAGTAGTGAGAGAAGCAACGGCCTCGGCCCAACGGCAAGCAGTGGCCTTGGCGAGTAACGATCTCGGTCTCATTGAGCAGCAGGAGAGGCGACAACCTCGGCACCGATAAGCAACGGCCCCAGTGAGTAGCGACTTTGGCATTGTTGTGCGGCAGGAGAGGCAACGGCCTCGGCACAGGCAGTGGCGACCCCAGTGAGTTCAGGCCTCGGCCTCGGCAGGTAGCAGGAGTGGTGGCGTCCTCGTCCTCAGCCTCGAGCAAGCAACTAGGTACGGCGGCATTGGTGACCTCAGCATGTTGGTGATTTTAATTTCTTTGGTTGTCACTGAGACCTGAATGGTTCACATATTTTCTTTTTTATTTAGTTTTAAATGTTTTTTTTTATTTAGGTATGCATCTGGGCATGCTGTGGGTATTGATTTGGGTATCAATATGTGATTTGGACAGAGCCGACTCGAATTGAGCTTCTTTCTGTTTTGTGATATAAATCGAGGCTTAGGAGACACTGGCAATGTGATCCTATTAAGGTTGGCTGGACTTTTGGATTTGTGTGATTTTTTTTCTTTCCTTGTTTTCCCTTTTCTAAGTAACTATAGAGCGTGCACGTGCAAGGCACGTTGATACATAGAATGACAGCTCACTGAAAATTCAGTTCATCCTTAGACCATTCTGTAAAGGAGAAGCTTAGCAAACCGTTTCTTCAGCTATGAAATGATAAATCAAAATAAACAGAGTGATGTAAGTTTAGATTGATGGACCTAGAAGATTTAGAACAGTGCATATTTCGAATTTTAGGAAAATATGAATATGAACACTTTTCTTAGAATGACAGTAAGTGAACATATTGATTTGATAAAATATTATAGTTACACCGTCACCATCATGCTCAAAATGAAGCAACAGGGGTTGTGCCAGCAACAACCCTTCCCTAAGCACATATCCCTGTGTCATCGGTGTGCCGATTACAACTGGAAAAAAACAATGAGCAGCTGCAATGCTCGCGCCACTTGATCTAACCTTTTTTATGCAGTCTACTCCATATAAGTTGACGTAAAAGCAGGGTTTCATAAACCACTTGAATTTACCTAAATTACTCCCCATAATGAAAAACAGTACCCAAATGTATCCAAACAATTGATGTATTTGATAAGCTGCCTATGGGATCAACCTTTATGTAGATGGTTTGCATCTTTACGGTTCATGTCCTACAAGGGGAATCAGACTGATAAGTTATCAATTCAAGGAACATGATCAACCCAACGCAATCCATAAAGTACACTTTCAAGAACCCCAATCCATATAAAAGAGCCCTTTAAGAGAAACAAGCAATCCAACAACTTCAATAGTGCCAAATCTAAATTCTTGAGGACAGTGGTGGAGCCAGGATCTATACTCGAGGGGAGGGGGCAAATTAAGCTAAGTACCAGGATTGTGAAAAAAAATACATCAAATTTCAAGTAAAATCGAAGCATTTTACGTGAATAATCAATCATATAAATATACCTATATTTTTTGACCATACAGAAGAATATTTTCATACATATTATTTATTATTCGTTACATACATATTTTTTTTATTATTTTAGTGCTTTTATATTAAAGTGGAGCGGTAAATTAAAAATTAGAGCTTACGAGGTAAAAGACATTAGCAGTCAACAACGATACGTGACCATTGGAAGAGCTGACCTTTCTAACTGTCCTTGCATTCTAACATGTTAAATTGTTGCCTGCTTGATTTGCTCTAAAGTTCTAGCATTGCAGAGACCATGGAATGCCGAGCCAACTACCATGACAAAAGACATGTAGGGTTATACCTCCAGCTTGTTTTGGACTGCAAATCTAGCCCAACACACCAAAGTGCTTAACATAATCACCTAATTTAAGGATTACTTAGTAGTAGGTCCTACAACAGACACACATTGAGGCCAGGCCCCCCTGTCTTCGCCGTTGCTCGAGGGAGATTAGATAGAAACACATAATAACACATTCAAAAGGTTGTTAGATTAGAATAGTGCTTAATCAAACAGAAATTAATTATTGAATGCATGCATCTTAGAGCAAAACAAGGAAACATAGGTAATTCTTATTATTGAACAAGATGTAGTGAACTCATGTTGGACAAGGTACAACGTATTGGTACTACGGGGAAACTACATGGTACTACAGGGTATGCAACGCCCATAAGCAATATTAAACAAAATATGTTGTGTAACCAAGATCGTAGGACTAAAGGGATAATTTCTGAAATAAGAGCAAACATAGCAAGTTCAGAATTCCATTCCATTTGTTTCTTCAATCAGTTTAGCCTTTTATGATAACAGTAGCTGGACAATAGCTTAGAAGATTGAAGCTTTTTTTTAATCCTTCCATCAATCTTGAAGATCACTTGTCCACATCACATATTCACATATATATCTAACTTCCTGGCACAATCAGATTAAAGTAAGAGAATAGTACAAGAAAAGTAGAAAAACATTTAGGAATTTAATTTCCACTTCAGAAAACAAAAATATCATCTAACAGCAACACTGACTTCAACACCTATGTTCTTATGTTTGTCAAGTACCGTATCAAGAAGCAATGGAAGTCATTAGGCCCATACATAACATGACATTTAATGTATATATACAATAACCATGCACATGCAGTGCATGTTATAATCTAGTATATAATTTAAACCAAACATTTCCTTATTTATAACCCATCAAAAGTTTTGACATTTATAAGGAGAAGATAGAACCCATGTCAATTATAGGATCTGAAAATGGTGAGTACCAAGCACAAGATCCTTACAAAGCCATATCCATTGGTGTAATATCATCCAAAGCTATTTGACCTGTTGTTTCTTTTCCAACCATCTTTTTGTTTGATGAAAGCCCTGTAAAAAAAAATAATTTTAGCATTCTAGAAGTGAGATCGAAATTTCTTTGTCACTCAAGCAGTCTGCTGCTATATGGCTAAAACATATATGAGCAATGAAAACAATTTCAGATGAGAATTTCTCGTAGCAGAAGCATAAAAAGCTAAGCATACGGAAGTCCTCCAACCATACTTTTCAGGACTGGACCGGTAATTGAACCAGCGGGGGCATCAATTCATTGGTTCAACCATTATGAATCAGTAACAAACTTACTTAACAGCATATACACATTACACAATTACAGTCTCATTCTCCAGACAAAAGCACATAGCTACTACCAAACTCATCTCAATCTCAAAAAACACAAGACAACAATGTTAAATTTTAATTTTTGGCAGTATTCTGAGAGGGCAAGACGTACGTCACCTGAGAGATATTTGGAATTGATCTTGCAAACATATACAGTCAAGAAACTTGGTATAGCCCCAGTAAATCCAAGCCAATTTCTTGCAGCTAGATTCGGACCGCAAGCTGCAAAAGCAAAAATATTTTATGAAACATTTTTTTTGAAGGCAGCAGTGTAGTTAGAATCTATATTGATTTATCTTGTCTGTCTAATCTTTTCATTACTGACCAAGAAGCTAAAAACCAATTACCAACAAGGTTAGGCGAGCACTTGAAGAATAATGTTCAAGTATGCCTTTGCACAGACAGCGTGGGCGATGGTTGTTGAACCAAAATACCAAATACAGCCAAGCTCTACAGTTTTTTGAACCAAAATACCAAATACTGTAAAACTCGTTCATTGAGCACCTTTGGCAGGTGCCTGACCGGCCCTGCTCACTTGTACAGCCGGCCGTGCCAGCCGCTCGCTTGTAGAACAGCTATTGCCGCCACTGCTGCAGGTTCAACTTGAAATCAGCAAATCAGGACCCTTCACCTCAAGTTTTGATGCCAATTTTTTTCTACATATCTGATATTTCCTACAATATACTAATGTGAGTATCTCGATTAAAAAATCAAACACACGCCCAACGATTTTGCAATTTCCTCTAGAAATTTCGATTGCCATTTGGGATTTGTGGAGATAAGCAACAAATACTGACCTGTATCCGTAGTCGGAGTTGTAGGGGAGGTTGGAGAGCAGCGTCTCATCCATGCCGTCGTCCCCGACACGTGTGACCCGCGCGTAGGCGGTCGCTTTCTGCGCAAGGACCTCGAACAATAGGCCAGGCCGGTGAGGAACTCCCGCACATAGTCGGCGAATCCTCAGACATGGATTTATATGGTGCTAGGTTGTTCACCTCACCCGCCTGGCTCCAATTAACGAACCACACATCCGCCAACACCTCGCCCTCCTCCACCGTTGGTCGATGACGAGCAGCCGCGGTAGGAACTGCACCTCCTCAGCCGCCTCCACCCCTCGGCCCCCACCATCGTGACGACAACGGAGAGGAGCGTGGCCAGGAAGAGGAGACTGCACGATGGAGATTACGGAAGTGGCGGTTCAGACGAAGAGAGAAGATCTAGGTTCAGCGCGCCGGCGGTAGGGGAGGCGCGAGCTGGATGGAGAGGGCAGGCGCGGGAGGTGAGGAGGCAAGGGCGCAGGCGGGCGCCAGCGGCGGGGATGTGCGGGCGGGGTGGAGGGCGAGTGCCTGCGGCGGAGAGGCGCGGGCGGTGTGGTGGGCGGGCGCGGTCTGTGGTGGGCGACGTTTTTTTTTTTCGCTGCTATTGGTTCTTTTTCGCTAACTGCTGATTACTCCAGGTGGGATCGCTAATTGCAGGGGTTGATCTAACTTTTAATATGAGCCGTTGGATGAATAGATCTAAGGGTCAGGAGAGAGAGGTATTTGATAAACTAGTGCTTTTTATATTGAATATAGATGATTATCCGATTGGATTTTGTATCGGTTTCCGATTTTGTTCTTTTGTCCGTCGTACACCTAAAAGAAGTTGAGTGTACTCTCCTCTAAATATTATAGCATAATTGTCCTGCTTCAGTTATTAATGGACGAAATTTATTTATGAACAAGGTAATATTGAATCTTTCTTCAGTGGCCTGTTTGCTTTTGGTATGACCAGCAAACATTGGTTTTGGGTTTTGCACATTGTTTACCATGGTGATCCTTCTGAACTTATGGTCTGAATTGTAGGTTATTTTGTGGAGGGTGAGCTTCTTTGCCTCTCAAGGATCTGATGTTGCACGAGATAATGTGCTTAGGTTGTACAAGCAAACTGTCGATGCTGTCATGTGCATTCTTTTGCACACGAAATATCATCCTTCGCAATCTCATGTTCATCTAATTCATCTAATGGTCGAATGAAGCAAATGTGCAGCAGCATTTCATGTGGCTTGCGATGATTTGTTTCAGTTGTGCTGCTACATTGCTGAGTGGAATTCACTTCAGCTGTCCTGAACCTGGTGGGCGGTGGCGTCCGTTTTCCTCGCCACAGTTTTTACAGTGACTACATGCTGTCCTTGGGAAAGACTGAACTGAGCTGCAGCAGGAAGAGCTTCTCGCTAGCCGACCTACGTAAATTCGCCAAGCCGCAGGTAACACTTCAAACAAGTAGATCAGTCATAACCATCTGTACTTCAAAGAAATGGACAAGTTCAGAATTGAGAGGACTAATTCAGAGAGAACAGATATGTTCAGACTTCAGAACTTAGATGTGATAACTGAGCAGAGTTATGTTTTTGCTAGGCTGATTATGTGCTGAGATATTAGGCCCTATTGATTTAAAAAAGTCCACAGACTTTTAGAAACAAGATAAATGGAATGGCTTTTTCCATTAACGTGTGGCACATTACAAGGGAAATTCAAAATATGCTCTTCAAACATATTACTCTTGAAAATATTGACAACCAGACCTGTTACACTGCTATGAAAATGGAATTTTTTGCATTGTCAATAGTCTCCTACAAGTTCTTCTGGTTGGGTGATTATTTCTAGAGTGCTTCTATATAGTTTATTCAGCACCTTAGTGAAAGTACCTGTTGTCTCTTATGGTGGATAATGTGCGAAAACACATTTTTCGGGAATACGCTAGAAGCGTATTTTTGCATTAAGAGGAGTAAAACAGACATTTACAACCAAAGGCAAAAACTGCAGGGGACAGGGGAACCGGACAAGAGAAAACATACCCCGCCACGTGCCTACACACCACCACACCGAGAGGAACACACGGCCACCTCCAAAACGATGCCTTCAAGAAGGTCACGACATTCAAAACGCCGCCATCGCCCATCCCGAAAGGATGAGGTTTTCACCTAGAGGATCCTTGAAGAGGGGGAGGGAAGCACCTCAACAACGCCCTCAAGAGGGTTGGAATGCCCAAAGACGTCGCCGTTGCTGTCCAAGAATTGGGCCGGCTTTCGCCTAGCACCTGCCAATGCCCCTCTTGCCGCTACCTCACCGACTCCCAGGCAATGTCAACACGTGGCCTCTACAGCAACAATGCCCCTCCGTCGGCTGGACTCCAAGCGACCTAACCTGCTGCCAGCGCGACCCCCATAGCTACACGTTGGAACGAGCACGACCAAACCACCGCTGCACTTCGGCGACCAGCTAGCCTTCCTCCCATGCCGTCACCTCCAAAGAGAGTGCCCGCCACCGCCCATCACTATCGATAACAACCTGGGGCAACCTTGCTGCCACCTTCACCGTCTCGCAAAGGAGCTCCCCACGACCAGGCGGTCAAGAAGGGGAGGAGCTCCAAGGAGATGAGAAGGCACCCACATGGCGTCTTGTCACACCCCGAAGTTCTTTCCCAAGCCTAAATTGAAGTTATAAATGGTCTCAAGAAAATACCAGTGTAAAGCAAGAGTAAACCTTAATAAATTAATGCAAATAATAATCGGAATTGGCATGTGGAATTTTTCTTGAGTTCTACACGTCGAAATTCGCTAACAAGATTTTTAGTGGAATTTTCAGAGCCCTCGAAATAATTTTAACCAATTAAAATTGAGCACATGCAATTTTAAATCCCAGGGAAAATCTTTTCCTCCTTTTCTTTTTCTTTTCCCTCCTTTTCCTCTTCTTGGGCCGTCGGCCCAGTCCACCCCGCCGCCGTGCGCGCCCTCCTCCTTGTGGGCCGGCCCAAGCCGCCCCTCCCTCTCTCCCCGGGACGCCGACAGGTGGGCCCCACTTGTCAGGGTCGTCCCCTTCCTCCGGTCGCCCGCCCTACGTCGCCACCACCGCCGAAACCGCCGCCGCGCCCACGTCCCCGCCTCCTCCGGGCCACGTCGGCCACGCCCGTGCATGTGCCGCGTCTCCCGCACCCACTCCCCCCTCTCTCCCGCTCGCGCCCGCGCCCGAGATGGCCGGGATTCGAATTCCGAATCCCGCCTCTCTCGCCTCCCCTACTCCCCACGTCGGCCGGCGATTCCCGCCCCTACCGGCCACGTCCGAGTTCCCCCTCCCCTATTTAAGCTCCACCGCCACCCCCTCTCTCTTTTTCCCCATCTCGCCGAACTCTCCCGAGCTCTCCATCGCTCCCGCACCGTGCATCCACCCGCCGCCGCCTTTCCCGCCACTCCGGCCGCCTCTAGCCGCCGCTAGGCTCGCCGCCACACCGCGCCGTCGCCGACGTTGGGTTCGAGTGGCCGAGATCCACCCCGTTCACCCCTCCTCCGTCGAGGTTCGCCGCCGGAGCGCCATTCCCGCCGAGCGATGGTGAGAGCCGCCATGTCCACCGCCTTCGGCCGGCATTCCCGCCTTCTATGGCCCCTCTCTCCCTCTCTAATCTTTTCCTTTTCGTTCTTTAGGTCGTCCCGGACCCCGTCCACCGCTTGTCGACCTCCCTCCGTCGCTCCTCGTCGCCGGTCGTCGCCGCCCCCTCCGGTGAGGACTCCCTCCCCTTTCCTTTCCTTCCCCGTTTCCCCGTGCGCCTCCGCCACCCGCGCTCGCCATCGCCTTCGGTCGTCGCCGCCGCCGGGGTGCCGTCCGCTGCCGCCGCCCGCGCCGCCGCTTGCCGTCGCCGGTGGACGCACGCGTGCCGCCGCCCTTGCCATGGCTGGCCGGTCGGCTTTGTGCCGAGCAGAGCCGAGCCAGGTCGCCGCTGCACCGTCCGATCGGCCCCGGGCCAATCTGGGCCGTCGATCCCGTGGACCGGCTGTGGACCACCCGCGTGGTTCCGGTCCACGGTAGACCGGCCACCCCGTGCGCCACTGACATGCGGGCCCCGCCTGTCGGCGCCACCCCCTTGATGACGTCAGCCCTGGGATTTATTGCGCAATAAATGATTTAAGGGCTTTTTGTTATAGTAATAAACATAGTGAATCTTCTAAAATTCATAACTAATTCATCCGAGCTCCGTTTAAGCCCGTTCAAGTCTCAGTAAATCAAGAAAAATGTGTAGAATCCATTAAAAATGGTTTTGTTCTCTGTTTCAGTAGTCTTATAGCCTGTTTGTATTGTTTGCTTTGTATGTCGCTTAGATTCCGGTTCTTCCGACGCTCCGGTGTACTTCGAGATAGTCGCTGAGGTTCTTCCAGTAGTAGAGCAAGGCAAGTCATGCTTGTCACTTGAACATGTTGATCCTATATTACAAATGCTCTATTGTTTTTCTTTAAATACTGCATTGTTTTATAATGTTACTATGGGATGTTTACCTACTGTCATAGTCGTACTATTTTGTACCATGTTCCTTTGTTAGCTTGGGATATAACATGACTAGAGATTGGACTAGGGATTGCTTAGCCATGCTTAGTTCAACTAGCACACAATGAGGGAGATCCTATTAATGTTTAGACTGTAGGTTCTAATGGTAATGTTGGATTAGTGACACCGCTTCGGTGTTGGTTAATTAAAATAAATCACATGGTGGGCTGTGGGTGCATGGTTTTGTTGGTCGCACCCATGGCAGTTAAGGACTGGTTCGCGGGATGCCCTGGAAGAACTTATCGTACTTACCACAAGCCAGCGTGGGCAACGGCTGGGCTTGTAGTGTAGCTTTCCTCTAGCTGACGCATCCAGGCAAGGGTGGGCGTGATGGAGCGAGGCGGGCCCTACGACGGCCTCTGTCGCTTCCGGATTCACCTAGGCACGAGAGGGGACTGCCCGCTGCCTTGCGAGGAGTGGGGGTGAAATCTGAGGTGTGGTGTGCTTGGTTAGAGGGGGTTATGCGAAGGGTCCTGTCACGACCTCTTTCCGGTATGTCGTGGTGGCATGTCGGCGCACGGAAACGTGTCGTGGGGCTGTGTCTTGTGGGTACAGTTGTACACCTCTGATCTGAGTAAAACTATTCGAATAGCCGTGCCCGCGGTTATGGGCGGTCAACCAGATTCACCGTGATTAGTCTCACCCTAGTTTAGTCTAATGAAATTGGATAGTTTAGGTGGATGGTTGGGCCTGTTGCAACGTGGGATAGCGTTGGACAGCGGATGATTAATATTGATTAATTATTACAACTGTTTACTTCTTTCAACTTCTGTTTATAAATGCTCGCTTTAGGCAAATGAACTACTCTAGCTCTCCTTTGATAAATCCCTGCATCATACCCCTATTCCAGTATGACTTGCTGAGTACAGTGGGTAGTACTCAGTCTTGCTCTATTTTCCCCAACCCCAGAGTACGAGTATGTGTCAGATGGTGGTTTCTCCGAGGAGTAGGCTTCGTCCGTGCCGTCGAGGATGCCTGTGGAGTGGTGTTCCCACTGCAGATCAAGTCAAGGCTTAGCTCCAGTTATCTTTCGTTTTTCCGCTGCATTTATGTAAGACTTTTATGATGTTTGTAAGACGTGGATCTGAATGTCAACACCCCGGCCGGTCCTGGACGGGGATTTTAATGCACATTCTACTTGGAATTCTATTTGGGAATTTCTGGGCGTGACACGTCCCCTCGTCATCGCCGGTCGTGATGGCAGTGCTGTGCGGCTGAATCCGAGCTCGACCCTAGATCCGGCGGCATCTCCACCGGCCAACACCTGCAGCGCTGCCACACGGGCGACGCGCAACGACCCCGCCGCCGCCATGCAAGCCGGCGTCCCAGTCGGGTCCCCCACAACGCAGCCATCCATCTGGCAGCAGCCCCCACCGGTGGTCATCCATGAGGTCCGGCGGCAAGCATCGCCGGTGCCAGCCACTGCCACGTCAGCCCGCTGCACGGCGCCGCACGCATCGACCTCGACGTCGGCGTCCTCTCGTCGCGCATGCGCCGTCCTTCCGCACGCGCCGTCCTCCTGTCGCCGGCGACGCCGGCCATCACGACCCTGGCCATCCGGGAGTCGGATCCGGCCGCGGGGACGCCGGATCCGAGCGGGGCGCCTCCGGAGCCGCCGCCGCCTTGCCAGGTGCTGCTCCCAGCCACCGGGCCGCCGCCGCTGCCCCCAGCCGCATTGCGCCGCCGGGCCACCGTCGCCACCCCCAGCCGCGCACCACCGCGGGCTGCGCTGCCGCGCCAGATCCGGCCATGGGGGTGCCGGATCCACCGCCACCCCACACCGCCCCACCGCCTCCACTTCTCCCAGCGGTGGGGTACCTCATCGGCGTCGCCCCGTCCACGTCGCGCCGGGAGGGAGCTGCCAAGAGGAAGAAGGACCTCGCCGCCGCCTTCCATGCTCGCTGCTGGCTTTGCCGCCGGCGAGCTCCGGCGGCGGCGAGGCGGGGGAGAGGGGGAGGAGGCACGGGCGGCTAGGGTTTTCGCCCCCCGAGCCGCCCACGCGAGAGGACGCGGGGTAGTCTTCTGTGTGCGAAAACACATTCACTTCTTTTCTATATATCGTTGCTCAAAATTCTTGCTAATTATTGAAATACACAATTGTTCAGCTAATATATATTTCCAGATATCGGTAAAAACACATGTTCTTTACTTCTTTTCCCAAGTTGTGACTCCTCATACTACAATATCTATATACTTGAAGTTGCACGCTGTCCAGCTTTGCACGAGTAA